CACTCTCCCGTCCCGAGTCTCCTCTTCATGGCTCCCCGCAAGTTTCCCTCTCCCCTGCGGAACCCCCCCCCCCTTGAATGACGAGCGGCTGGCTGACCTGCCATGCAGGCGAGACCCGCTTCTGCAAAGGATCCACACTAGGTCCTTCTTCACAAAGGAAACGCAAGGGAGTAGGATGAGACAGTTCAAGACAGAGTCCAACGATAACCCCGTGTTGAAACGGATCTGCCCTCCAACCGCGTGAGATCTGATCAATTCCAAAATCATGTTCGCAAACATTGCGGACATTCTGAATGAGAGTCCTATCTTGAGAATAGCCGCCCATATCCGTATAACAATTGCGTAACTAGGACCTTCGGGTCGAATGAGCCAGCACTGCCCCCGAACGACGGCGCACCCTGGGCGCCGCGCAGACGCACGAAAGGAACCGTCTAAAAGACCGACTCCTGACTCGATCTACCGTGCTTAGATTTGTTGCCCGTCCTCCTCCATGAACCGGGGGAGGAGGAGGAGGAGGAAGAGGAGAAGCGGAGGAGGAAAAATAACAAGTAGAGGAACAGACTATACGATACATCACATCGAGGGTCGGCCCGTACATCCAACACTGACATACTGCCTACTGCTGGCGCCGCCCGGGAAGGACAAATCTTGCCCACCAGAGGAGAAAACAGAAGCAAGCACTCACGAAGAGAAGGATGAGAGAGGACGAACACAACAACGCTCGCGAATGTGTCGGGCCAGAAGACTTGAAGAGGAAGCGTCGGGTCTTCGGATTTGGGGATGAGGGAAGAGGAAAACTTCGGGTCATAGGTTTAATGAAATCTCAAGAGAGAGATGCACTCTGGAAACGTACTGGCCCTTCCTTGGGAGGGCGCGCGGCGCTGATGCGAGAGCCACATGTTGAAAACGCCAGCAAGCGAAACGCCCAAGCCTGGCCTGCGGTCACGTCTGGTGATACGACACTGGGGAACTTAATTGCAAAGGAAAAAGGATGGGGGAGGAGGCAGAGGATCAGGAGGAGGGAGAGGAGGACGCCGCTGGAGCTGCTCGTAAGGCCCAGGCCTCCATCGTGTTGGAACCATCATGACGGGGGCCTTTTGTGGCCTTCGGCCTCGGGGGGGCCCTCGCCGGGCCACGAGGTTGTTACCCGAGGTTGTTAAAAACGGCTCGGCGTCCAGGAACCCGCCCCATTGAAACGATCAGGACACCAGATCTCTGGTGGGATCACGGGGCCCGCTCTGGCCGTCTGGAGGCCTGCTGAAGTAGGGAGGCGAATGCAAGAAACAGATCCGTTCCCACCCGCTGGGCACGCCGCGGCGTGGGCGCTTGGGTAACAGCGTCTTTGTTTCTTGTCTCTTTCCCTCTCTCTGTGTTGCCAGGGGATTAGAAACATTCAAACACAAAGCCCTCTGGAGGCTGCTTTCGGGCCCAAGGACCGTCTGTCAAACATGGTTCCTGGACGAAAAAATACGCCCGGGAAAACGGTCTGGACGTCCGGGGCCGCGGCGGATGTCAGGGTGACGACGGCCGGCGGGCCTCGCGAGAGCGGGCGCGAAAAGCTGCTCTCGCCTGGGAGCCGCGCAGACCCTGTGCGCCGGGCCGCGGGGCCGCGGGCGAGGGCCCTCCATTCGCGTGGGGGAACGCTCGCAAGTCCCAATACCAAGTGGCGACCCGCTGACGCGTTCGCCCTGGCTATCTTGACTCCTCCTCCTCCTTCTACTTCTCCTCCTCTTGCGCTGCACCAGCGTAGGCTAGCGAGAGCCGTCGCGCCGATATGTCGGCCACTGGAGAAAGACTGAAGTACCTACTTAGACGATTTGCAGCGGCCTGGGTAATACAATTGCTCAGTCTGCAATAGTAGTTGACTGAACACAGGAGGCATATAGACAAAACGAGAAAGACAGAGGTGCCCGCGAGGGCTCGTAGGGGCAGAGCAACCGTGTAAGCAAGCGTATGGTGATTCGGAGGCCTCCTCCTCCTCCTCCTCCTCCTCCTCCTCCTCTGCCTTTTCCTCCTCTCGAGCTCGGGATCTCGTCGAGCTCCCAAACTCGTCGCGTAAGGCTGTCCTCCCGAGCGGGCGGACGCCGAGAGCGGAACCAGCGAGGAGGAGACAGCAAAGCGCAACTGCGCTGCCGTATCCTCTTCCTTCTCCTCCTCCTGCCTCTCACGTGCTCACGCTCGAAGCAGTGTCGACCAGAGCTCCGATGCACTCGACCCTTACACCAATCCACCCCCTCGTCGGGTGGAGGGAGTGTGTAACCCTGGGCGGCGCCACAAACCATGAGGGAGGGGCGACCCTGGAGGAGGGGGGGGGGGGGGGAAACGCGGAGCGGGCGACATGAGGAGGGAGAGGAGGCGAAGACAGGAAGAGAGGCGAGGAAACGCCTCCACAATAAGAATAATCGGCATAAGCGTGAACGTTCGGAGGTTCGAGAGGACCTGTGAAAGTGGATGTTTATGCTGAGTTCTTCCTCGACCCTACTCGTCTGCCTCTCTCGCATCCTTTTCCTCTCGGGAGGGGCGAAGTCCAATTGGAGTCCCAGCAGATAGCCCGTCTTGATTCCAACTGGGCTTGACGTCGCCCTAGAGGAGCCCACGTCCAGTTAGAGGGCCTCTAACTGGACTTGCTCCAAATGGACTCACACGCGCGAGCCACAGCTGCTCGACGGCGGTGTGGGGCACACATGCGCTGTGCCTGCATAACGAGGATCCCATAACACCCAGGCGCCGTGACCAGGTCCCTGGAGGCTCGAGGGGTGACACAAGAATATGGGGAGAGAACCCTGAAAACTGCATATTTACTCATTTTGCATTGTGCACGCCTGTTAACTGAAACGGACAAACAACGGCGGCAGATTCGGAACTGGAACGGCAACAACAACTGCGACGGGGCCGAAAAATCCACGGAGAAGGACCAGGAGCTGAAGAAACAACGGCCCCGTCGTCTCCGGGGGGGGGGAGGGGGGGAGCCATGGGCCATGGCCTTCTCGCGCCGCGGCCAAAACTCACGACGGAAGGTTCTGGCCGACCGCGGCCTCCGTGGGCGCTCCCCGGACCCCAGGGCCGTCAACGAAGACCCCAGGGCCGTCAACGAAAAGGCTCGGGACGAAATGCAGCCATCGTGCTACCAAGAAAAGAATGCTGAAGAAGGAACGCGAGGTCTTTTCTGGCCTCCGCGAGCCTCGGCCACGAATCGGTTACCCAACGTCGATCGAAAGAACGGCGTCTTCACTGTATACTGGTCCCGCGGAACAGCTCCAGACCTTCGGGGGTCCGCGCTGCGACAGAAGTCGTGACGTCGAACGTCTGTGGAGGGAGAGCACGAGGCTGAGGAGGGAATGGGGAGGGGGATGAGTACGAGGGAAGTGCTCTCTGCTGACCGGACGAAGGGGCAAGGAACAAGGAACTGGCAGGCAGGCATAAGGAGATGGAGAGTAGACGCCAATAACAGCAGCTCTGCGGAGAGACGCCGATGAATAATCCGAGGGGTGACACATAGCGAGACTCAGACAATACACTACGATGGGATGATAAACCAATCCCCAGGTTAGCAACATTAGATCGGGGATTCATAAACAAGCATAACGCCAACGAGACCATGTCAGGATCAGGCTGCATCGGCACGGGCTCGAAATCAAGTCGGATCGGCGGCACCAAGATGCGGAACAATGCCACGCGAACATCGGGCACCGCATCGGATCGCTGGAGCATCAGAGTAAAATCGGATCGGGCTGGCCGAAACCAATATCGAATCGGATTGAAATCGACCCTCCTGGACATAACGCGGACCCCGAGAGGTCTGGACCCTTTTGCTGAGACCGCTTTTCATCCCGAAATGTTTTTTTTCCCCCCAACCATCCTGTGGTGTTGGGTCCTCGTTTTGAAGAGACAGCGCCCCGCGTCCCTCCTCCTCCTCCTCCTCCTCCTCCTCCTCCTCCTCCTCCTCCTCCTCCTCCTCCTCCTCCTCCCCTCCTCTCTCCTCCCGTCCGCCTCGTCACCTCCTCCCTGCGCTTCACCCACCCGGGACAGCGTTTCGTGGCCCCATAGAGAGCTCCACCGATGACTCCAGTGGCACAATCCACATGCGTCACCGCCACCCAGGACAGCGCTTCGGGGCTCCATAGGGAGCTCCACCGAAGGCTCCAGTGGCACAGGCCGCATGCGTCACCGCCACCCAGGACAACATGTCGTGGCCCCATAGGGAGCTCCACCGAAGGCTCCAGTGGCACAGACCGCATGCGTCAACGCCATCCAGGACAGCGCTTCGTGGCTCCGTAGGGAGCTCCGCCGAAGGCTCCAGTGGCTCAGGCCGCATGCGTCACCGCCACCCAGGACAGCGTTTCGTGGCCCCCTAGGGAGCTCCGCCGAAGGCTCCAGAGACACAGACTGCATGCGTCAACGCCACACAGGACAGCGCTTCGTGGCCCCATAGGGAGCTCCACGGCTCCAGTGGCACAGGCCGCATGCGTCACCGCCACCCAGGACAGCGTTTCGTGGCCCCCTGGGGAACTCCACCGAAGGCTCCAGTGGCACAGGCCGCATGTGTCGACGCCACCCAGGACAGCGCTTCGTGGCCCCATAGGGAGCGCCACCGAAACCGGCCGGTACCCACAATGCGGTACTCTCAACTGCATGTGGTTGGGTCCTTCGTCAGGCTAATTCCTTTGCCCCAGGGCCCTGTGAGGGCCCCCAAAGGCCGAACACAGTATTCAACCAGCCGTTTGTTTTGCGACGCGAGGTGGTCTGTTTGTCGGGCCATATCCCCTTCCTCCTGCCGCCGTTCGGGACGATTCGCCTCCCCCCCCCAAGGTAGACTACGACGAGGCGCAGCTGCTGAAGTGCATCCCGAAGGCTGGGAAACCTGTGGGCACCCACGACGACGCCCAGAAACTTCGCACCCGAAGAGCTCGCTGGGGCAGCCTCCGACGAAGCCTGCCAGCCCCTGCCTCGAATCTGCCGCGCTCCCCCCGCTGGTGAGCGTGGCCGCCGGCGTCGGGCTCCTCAAATTGAGCATCGGGCACACGCTTGGATCGACCAGGGGCTCCGCTTCGACAGTGAGCCTCCCGCTTGGCGGGAGGGGGAGGCCATCGGGCGATGGTCCCGCGAGCTAGTCCCCTCCCTGTCGGCGCTCCTGATCCCCTCCCCCTTCTGGCAATCCGCTGCCCCGCTGCCCCCCCCCCCCCCCCCTCCTGGAAGGTCTAGCACGTAAGAGTAGTGAACACGCCTTGGCGGCTACCATGCTGCCGTCCACAGCTACCACCACCGGCCGCGCCACCACCCCTTGCAAGCCTACTCGCGCCCTCCTCCTGTTCCTCCTGCTCCTCCTCCTCCTCCTCCTTCTGCTCCTCCTCCTCCTTCTCTCCTCCTCCTCCTTCTGCTCCTCCTCCTCCTCCTCCTCCTCCTCCTCCTCCTCCTCCTCCTCTTCCCACCACTGACAGAATGCGACGCAGCAAAAGGGCCAACCGCGGAGGGGGACGCAAATGGCTCGCACAATAAATTCGATGAGGCGCACTCCTAAGAGGAAGAGAGCACAAGGCTGGGCAATATCATTGTCCAGCTGTTTGTCTCTCGCCCCCCCCCCCCCCCCATCTCTCTCTCTCTCTCTCTCTCTCCCTTTTTTCCAACCATCCTGTGGTGATGGGTCCTGGATTTGAAGAGACGGTCCCCGCGTTCCTTTCCTTTCTTCCTTGTTTCCTTCCTTCCTTCCTTCCTTCCTTCCTTCCTCCCTCCTCCTCCTCCCCCCTTCCTCCCTGCGTGTCACCCAATCAGTGAAGCGTTTCGTAGCTCCACCGACGGCTCCAGTGCCACCGCCCGCAAGCGCCACGCACACACATTTCGGCACACCCCTCACACGTTTCGCTGGCGTCATTTCCCGTGCCATGCCACGGCATGCAATGCAATGCTAGGTTGACACTACGCTTTGCGATGCTCTTCTACGCCATGCCATGCCGTGCTCTACCATGCATCGCGTACCCTTTCGGGATCATTGCCCTGCTCGACATCCGACTGTGCGAATAGAGAGGGGATCTACGCCATGGTAAGGGATGGGAGGGAGGGGTAGGATGTCAGATACGACGCGAGCGCGCCTAGCTTGTCCTTCGCCCCTCCCCCTCCCCTTCCTGCCACTCTCCCTCGTTCTCCCCTTTCTCTTTTTGCAGGGCCCACACCAATTCCAATGGCGGGCGCATGTACACGCGAAGGATTGTCCGCCCGTTCAGGTTTGCCCGCCTGTCTAAGCCCGCCGCCCCCCGCAAAAAAAATCCTCCCCAAAGGGGTGTGATCGAAGACAAAAAGGGCGGGTATCGAGGGTGTGGGGAACTCGTTTTGAATGACGCACGGGCAAGCAAGAACGACAAATCTTAGAATGGTTGTTGTTAGAATAATTCTTGTTGGTCCCCCCCGTCTGGTGCACATTGTTTTTTCGACTGAAGTGCCCTTCCCGGAGTTCGCCCCCTGTTTTTTATCAAGGAAAGTCTCGAAGGTCAAACTGCGTCGTCGGCCCCCGGTTTGCAACAACATCTCCCGCCTGATACTTCCTCACAATTTATTGAAGAATCGCGCTGTCGCTTGGGACTTCCTTGCAACTTCCCACGGGGTCGCGGCCCCCGCTTGATACTTCCTCACAATCTGTTGAAGAATCGCGCTCCCGCCTGGGACTTCCGAAACAATTGTTTGGAAACCATCGCCAACTCTTGAAAAAAGGCGGGGCCCTCCATCTCCTCTTCTGCTCCTCTCCCTTGGCCCCTTGCTCATCCTCGCTTCCCCTCTGCCGTTTTGTCGTTTCCCCTCCGCGTTGAGGCCTGGCGCAGTCCGTGGGCGTCGGGGGCCCAGCGCATAAAGAAAAAAAACCTGGTTCGGCCGGGTCTCGGGGTCGGCTGGGCTTCGGGGGCCCGCGTCCTCCTCGTCCTCCGCGCTCTCTCTTTCTCTCTTTCATTTTTTTGTTTTTTTTGTTTTCCCCCCCCCTCTCTCTCTCTCTCTCTCTCTCTTTCCATGTATATATAGATATTATGTTTTCTTGTTATCTCTCTCTCTCTCTCTCTCCCTCTCTCTCTCTCTCTCTTTTTTTCTCTCTCTCTCTCTCGCTCTCTCTCTCTCTCTTTCTCTCCTTCCGCAGCTGTCCCTCCCGTCCCTCCGCCCCTCCCTGCCCCCTCCCCCTCCCTCCCTCCCTCCCTCCCGCCCTCCCTTTATCGTCATTGCCGTCGTCGTCGTCGTCTCAGGCGGGCCACCCCTGGGGCCCGCCTGCCGCCTGGGGCCCGGCACTCCGACCCTTCAGCCAGCCAGGCCGACAGTCCGCGCGACTGCCTCGCCGCATGCCGAAGGCCAGTCTGTCGGCCCGTCAGCCCCCGCCCTCCTCCCTCCCTCCTTCCCTCCCGTCCCGTCCTCCGCCTCCTCCTCCTCCTCCTCCTCCTCCTCCTCCTCCTCCTCCTCCTCCTCCTCCTCCTCCTCCTCCTCCTCCTCCTCCTCCTCCACAATTACACAATATGAATACTACTCTCCCACTTCCCCTGATGGCGTCCGGAAGATGTTCGGCACCCCCCCGCGTACTGTTTTTTTACACACAGGATTCCCCGGAGTTGGGTTTTCGCTTGTGTTTTTTTCTAAAATGCTGCTCTCGCTGAGGCGCTGGCCTAATTTTCGGGCTCCCGCTCCTTCCGAATCGTGTTCCCGCTGCAGCGCTGGCCTCATTTCCGCGCTCCCGCTCGTTCCGAATCGTGCTCCCGCTGCAGCGCTGGCCCAATTTCTGCGCCTCTCGTTGTTCCAAAACGTGCTCCCGCTGCAGCGCCGACGTTTTCGATCCTTTTTAAGAAGCCCCAAATCTAGAAAATGATCCCCGGCAAAAACATTGGAGGTGATTACACATCCGGTGTCGATTCGTTGATTTTTGGGGCCGCAGAAAGCCCCCCCCCCCTTTTGGGCGGCGTCCTTTTCCGCACAGGATTCCCGGGAGTTTGGTTTTCATCTATGTTTTTGAAAATCCGAGTCTTTCCGCGGGCAGCTGGCGCGGGTGCCGCTCCGGCGCGGTCGCGTCGTCGTCGTCGTCGTCTTCGTCGCCGGTCGTCCTCATCGTGGTCGTCGTCGTCGTCGTCGCCGCCGTCGTCGTCGTCGTCGTGGTTGTCGTCGTCGTCGTCGTCTTCGTCGTCGTCGTCTTCGTTTTCATCGCGCCGTCGTCCTCCTCCTTTCCCTCTTAGGTAAAAGGGTCAGATGCGAAGCCCGATTCGGTGAGAGGACAATGAAGTAGCTCAATGGGAAGGGATGGGAGGGAGGGGTAGGATGTCAGATGTTGACGCGAGCGCACCTAGCTTGTCCTCCTCCCCCTCCTCCTCCTCCTCCTCCTCCTCCTCCTCCTCCTCCTCCTCCTCCTCCTCCTCCTCCTCCTCCTCCTCCTCCTCCCTCCTCTCGTCGTGGTCGTCGTCGTCGTGGTGAGCCCGCTGTCTGTCCATCGTGGGGTCGGGTTGCCGCGGGTCGGTGTGTGTGCATCGCCAGCGTTGCCACTGGCCAGGCCGACGGTCCGCCGCTTGCCGGGGCCCCGTCTGCCGTCCTTTAAGACGCGCGTGTTCCACTGGCCCAGGTTCTTCTGCAGGCTTCGAATGAAAGCCTCCCTCGACGAGGCCCCCGGGGCGTCCCCGCAAGTTTTCGGAGCCTGTGGAACTGCTCGGTGGTCATCGGGGCCATTCCGAAGCCCCCCAGAAGTCATTGGAGACTTTCGGGTGCCCTCCAATCCCCCCGCGCCTTGTTTCCGCACCAGTCCCCGCTCGTATCCACCTGCCCCCACTTCTCACCGTTCTTTCCCTGTCTTCTCGACTCTTTCAAATTATCTTCATGTTCCTGTCGTTCTTACTCCATTGTGCTGTTTCTCAGTTCTTCGCATTCCGCCCACTCCTCCCCGGGCCACCCCATTCCACCCCAACGATCTCCACCCCTCCCCGCTCGCATTCCGCATTTCTCCCAAATTATTCCAAGTCCATCCTCCAAATTCCTCCGTGCGCCCCCCGCTCCTCCGCGCTCCTCCCGATTTCTCGTCTCCACTCCTTGCCGCTCCTTCTCCTGAGACCCTACTCTTGTCCACTCCATCCCAATCCACTCCACATCCCCGCACTCCTTTCGACACGGTTGCAGTTGTCACTATCCTTCCGCCCCGCTCTCCCCCCGCTTCTCTTCAGGGTTCCACGAAATTTGTTTCTGACACCAGTTCGCTGCTGTACGTCCCCCCGTGGGGGTATCCACGACATGTTATTTCAAGGGGGTGGTACGTGGCGCTGTTTATGGCGCGACCCATGGCGACACTTATTGTTTACCTCTGTTGGAGGTGGCTGGCGCAAGCCATGGCGCAAGCTGAATCGCCACTCACAGCGCAAATAATCGTCCTCCCTCCTTCTTGCCCCTCCCCTCCCTTCCTCCGACCCCTTCGTCCTCATTCTCCCCCGTTATCTGTTACCTTTCGCTTTCAAAAGCTTCGCCAACTACGCGTGGCAGGGAAAGAAATATACCCCCCAAAGGTCGAGTATCCAGGGTTCGGGATATGCATGTTGAATGACACGCGAGCAGGTAAGAACGAACAATCTTAACATGAGTGTTGTTGTTGTGGAGTACTCATTTCTAACGGATAACTAATTGATCTCCGGAAACGGTTCCGGGCGCTCTCGCCTCGACGCCGGCTACATGTTCTCTGAAAGCGAGGCTCCCGCTCGAGCGTTGGCTTGACCCTAAAAGTGCGCCCTTGGAGGCCCAGCTCCAACGACAACGGCTCCCGCGCGATACTTCCTCACAGTTTACCCCGAGACACCCTGGCCAGAGAGGCTTCCGAACTCACGAACGGCGCTCTCGCTCGAGAGGTCCTCGCAATTCAATCAAGTTGGCGGAGGCCCAACCACGACGACAAGGGCTCCTGCTCGATACTTCCTCACGATTTACTCCGAGAGCCTCTGGCCAGGAAGACTCCTGAACGCAGTAACGGCGCTCTCGCTCGACTGTCTCGTGGCTCAATCAAATTATAATGGAAACCCAACTACAACGACACGTGCTCCCGTTCGATACTTCATCAAGATGTATTCGCAAAGGC